TGACTAACAAGTGGACGGACCAAAATTTATTTTTACTCTTTGCCCTTACTCTTAGCAAAAAACGCACACAGCGACAGTCTCAACAAAATCCATTCCTCGACTTATCTGCCTAGAGCACACGCCAACTGTCTCCACTAAATCCAGCTCCCAACTGAAAAGAAAACGCAGACAATGCGTTTATTTCACCGTCCGTGTGCACAGGCAACAAGAATACGCGGTTGCGGTAGTTTTACCGCTGCGGCAGAAAAACCGCTCGTGTGCGCTAGCCCTAATGGATTCAACGTAGCACAAAGGAGAAATTGCTGATTTGATGATGAAGCATTGCGATAGTCTGATTCCCCATCCATGGACTCCTACCGCTTGTATTAAGGATTCATAAAACCTCGAAGGTAGAAAATATTGCTGCTGGAATGGGGCTGTACCACGAAAAAGAAACAGCTACACTGGTGACAGAGGCCTTGCAATGGTCTGATCTCCCACGAAAGGAGTTCATATGTTTGTCTTAATAAGGGCTTTAAAAAATTCTGCAGCGGAGGAGAACATCCCTCGAATCAGGCTACAGCACACAGTCGTATAATCTTAAATTCAGTCAGTGCCACCGTTGAGTGTGTAAGCTAATGCCCATTTAATTGCGAATGTAATATTCAGAACAGCAGCAACAGTAGTTAATTGAGAAAAGCACGCGCTGTTTGCAGAAAATAAATGCATTCTCATGCTTCTGGTTCTGTGAACCTTTAGACGTGCGCTATGGGATCCAGTAACCTAGTTTAGTGTTGAAACTATAAATCTTTCACAGCGAAGTCTTATTTCTTGCTTCGGCGCTGCGTTGTATAAAAGCTGTCCTTTGACAAATAAATTGAGAGGTTCTTGACACGCACATCGACCGTTATCGAATTGGTCGTGTTGCATATACCGATTCAGAATTAATTTTAAGAAAATTAGTCCCAATCATGCAGATATTTGGTGTTATGTGTCAGGAGGTTGGCCAGTAAAGATGCCTCTACTTATGTAGAACAAAATAAAAGACAAAATTTTGTTTATGTGTATGTGTTGGAAGCGATATTTGAACCTACAGCCCCAGTGTTTCAAAGCTCTATCACGTATTTACTGTGATACGTTTAAATCTAAATCAACTACTTAACCTGCCTATTTAACTAAGGAACTAACTAGCTTCTGGCCAGTGTCTTAACTTCACCTGTTCCCAGAGCAGCTGGTTAAGAAATTCCCTGCTTTTCTGTAGACCTAAGCCGATGTTTCATTATCACATACACCTGCCATTTGACCTACCCTGAGCCAGTTTAATCCGGTTTATATTTTCGAACATCAATATCATCTTAATATCCACTTCATTGTCACTTCCTTTACGGTTTTACAACAAAAATGAAGTGTGTAAGACTTTGTTCGCATTGATTTAATGTGAGAACGTCGATTAACTAAACACCGCTTACTCGTCTTTGAACAAAACCCGTATGAAGCTTTCACATTACGAATGATACAGGGCTAGTCTAAATGATGTTCCCGATTTTAAAGACATGCTACTTACGTTTAATGAAATTCAGATGCACAAAATTGGTACCGATGGAAAGAGAAACTCTCCAAGTTTTGTTTCAGTACATCACAGGTGTTCAATGTGAGCCCCCTTGGTAACTCGGCACACATCCAGCCTGTAGTCGAGTTCCTCCCAGACACGTTGCCGGTTGACTTTCTCTTACAGATGCAGCCCCTTCTCTTAAATTCGGAATGCCACTTACGAATTGTATGCCCACTGGGTGGATCTGCCGCAAACTTGGTTCGGAAATGCCGTTGCGCACTAATAACAGACCGGTGAACGTGGAAATCCAGGACACAAAAGGCTCCCCTGTCTTCGATGGCACATTTTCTCTCATACCGCCCTGGCGGCGAACAGTGTTACTACGCGGCCGCGAAGTATACCAACATAAACTTGGAGAGTTTCTCTTTCCATCGGTACCAATTTTGTGCATCTGAATTTCATTAAACGTGAGTAACATGTGTTTCAAATCGGGAACATCATTTAGACTAGCCCTGTATTATTGATGCGTCGGAACCCCAATAAATCACACTTTCAGTATGTGTTAATGTGATCGAATCGCTTGTTTGCTGTCTGACTTGTCGTGACGTGCAGTTGGTCGACCTCCTGATTATTTTTGTCCCCTGTTACCAGGCGACACAACCCACATAGAAAATGTAATACTTGGCGAGGTCAGTGTGATGAGCCTGCGTACTCGCTGCTTGTCGGAGAGCCATCCTTCTACACTGCTATCGTATTTGAAACGTCTCCCGATCGAAAAGATTTATTGTCTTGATCAACGCTGTCGAAGAAGGTGCCCGCGGATACGGCCCCGAGATCTCTTGTAAACAGGCCGACCTAATTATTTGTTCATTTGTTACTAGTTACTGCACGAGGGAAACATTTTAAAAAGTCTGTATTCTTACATCGTCTACTGCTTTGTGCAGGTGCCACACGTAGACCTATTATTTGAGTTTGAAACCCTACCATAAAATGCAAGTTTTTCAGGAAGATACTGTGTCATGTCAGGAGAATATTTAAAATAATACGTAACTCTTTAGTACTTTGTGCGTATTTAAATAAAAGGTGTACTTGAGCATGCAATCGTACTACGGTAATTTATAATTTCTGAATTAGTTTAGGTAACAAGAATTGAGGTTTACTTTTAAAAAAAATATTGCCAGGAGGTATTTGATGGCTCTTCGTTGCAACGGAGAAATTGTTCTAGACTCAAGAGAGGGAAATGTTACATTAAGAAAGGAAACATGACATAATATAAACTTTGATTACAAAGTTCCAACAGTGTCATCATCGGTTGTCTAGTGGTTCTCGTGCTCGTCACTGGAGCGGGTTCGCGGGTTCAAGCCCTGCAAGGGCCGGTGAATTTTTAAGGGAGATAAAATCCGTAGCACAACTTCGGTATGCTTGTACAAGAATGCACGGCGCTACTACTCAGGAAACATCCATTTTTGTATTCCCCGCTGTGAGAACCTCAGTTTCTACTAAAATTATTGCAGTTTCTTTTTAACTTCATATTTGCGATTTTGGACAGAAGACGATAGATACTGAAATTCATGATAGCAAGAATTGTCCGAATTCAGTCTGCTCTTATCTTTTTCATGAATGTATTTTTTTATTTTTTTATTCGAAACGGAGCAGAGATATGACATATCTTATCAGCTGTGACCTTAACATGACCTTAAAGTTACAAGTATAATCTCATCTCAGAAGGATTGTTAGCACCGAATTAGCGTAAAGAATGAGGTCGTAGCGTCGTGCTGTAAACACTCTAAGGTAAGAGAGTGGCCATTGAGTCGCGGGTTTTTCCTGTCCACAGTAGGAAGTAAGCAGCAGTTGCAGTGGTAGTGATCATAGTGTAAATAGTACTACAAGAAAGCTATGCATGTTGAACACTTGACCGTACTGAAGGTTCTCACATTTACAGATTCTTGCAGTCAGTAACTGCAGCAGTTCATTTTTGTGTTTTGACTTCAACTCTGAGATGTTATTCTTCGGCTCCAATCGTCGTCGTGTTTGTGTGAGATGGGGATTCCACTTTTCATTCACCTGAAACTTGAATAACAAGGGTCTAATCCGAAAATTTGGAAGGCTTTCAGAAACTACATAATTTCTTATTTTAATACTTTGTTTGAATTTTCGTATTTTGTCTTAACTGGTTATGATCCCGTATAGGTTGCACTACCGAGGTTCGATGTCCGCAGAGACAGACTCTTCTTGTCGCCAGAACTCTCTCCGAACCGACCCTAGGACTTACTCAGCGTCCTAACTAATTAGTACAAGAGACTATTTCCTCATGGTTAAAGCGGCTGGAACGTGACACTGTCAGCTTACCACCATCTGTAGAGTTTAAGATGGGTGGGGCTTTACTTAATTTTCCTCACACAAAATCATTACGTGGCGCTTAGTTACAGGGGAAACTTTGGTTAGCTGATTCGTTTCTTACTCTGTTGCTTAGTCGGTTATTGGTTACTCAGTTACGATAAATGTCCCCGTTATCTTGTGTAACTTTGCTTTTGTGGTGTGCCCCACTAATTGCAGCTTCCTGGCAGCGTAAAGAAGAGTAAAAATGTTTTATCTGTCAAGGTCGTCGAGATCTTCTTGTCAGTGGAACAAGGTCTCGAAAATAATGGCAGAAAAGAGTCTCCTGTCTGGAGCCCCAACGAAACCGTTCATGTCGGCCAGCAAAGATATTGGAGTTGATTGATCTTTCGTGAACATACTCGATGGAACAGGGTCCTACTTGAGAACCTGATATTCCTTCAATTGGTCATGACTTTTTCAGCAAATAAATTATAGAATCTGTAGTTGTATTACCGTGTTCACAAAAGCCTGGCAGTGGACTCTATCGTAAGCCATAAACTCACTCCATACGTTCAATCTTGTAAAAACTCAACTTTAATAATATCCCCATATCTACGTGTGTGAATCTCCTCAGATACTTTTATTTTGTATGCAATTTTGTCTGTCTCATATGCGCTATGAACATGTACTCCCCCCTCCCTAATCTCATCACCATTGATTTAATTATCATAATAATATTTGATGATGAATACAAATGATGACTCTTCTCATAATGTAATTGTTCTATCTCCTGTTACATCACTGTGTGTAGAGACCTGCTCTGAGGTCCACCCAGCCTCTTACCCGCTGGCTACCGAAGGCTGTATTTCGTGCCGAGGTTAAATACGCGTGGAGCTTCATAGTACATCTTCATGACGCGATAAGCGTGTTTCATGATGGCCAGGTACAATTTCACTTCACCTTTAACATTCATCCACTCGTTAATTCATTAAGCCGTGTGTTTGGTCAGGAACTGAAAACTCTTCTTGCCTTACGTAACCTCGACAAATCGTTCGCTGTTGCTGGGATACGTGACGCCGAGCGTCGCGAGGCTGTGCGCAGGTTACTGCGCAGTGGTTGTAGGTAGCTGGACGACAGAGGCGGAGGTACCGACAGTGTGGCGTGTGAATCGACTGCGTCGAGTCGGTTGAGCGTTGTGTCCTAGAATCATACATTTACCTCAGGAATATTTGTCATTTGTAAATTAAGTGTCACAGATACACACACGTCTGCGAAAAACACGGTACGGCCCACACTCAAACAACATTAATTAAACGTTTTTGTTTACACAACGCTCATAATCGGGTAAAATTCAGACGTAATTTTGTGAAATATAGATACAGAAATTTTATAAGAATAATCAGAATTAAGAATTAAACAGAAATATGTCTGATAATCTAAGCAAAAGTCCGAATTCGATAGATGAAGCAAGCAAGATGTCAGCCCCCCGTACAAATGGAATTAAAATGGTTGAAGAAGGTGGTGGACTTCCTCTTATGCAGGTAAGAATTGAGAACCTAAGCTTCCATGCTTATAAATAGCAAGCTGGTTGGTCCCTTGGTCTCAGATGTGGAAGAATGAATAATGTACAGCACAAGGAAAAGCCGCGCGAAACGTTTAGAAATAAATAACTTCTATCTCTACTGCTTCTTAAGAAGCAGAAGATTAACTTTAAATGATATTTTCGCTTGAGTGTTATGGAATGTGGTTGCCTTGCATGTGCCAAAGAATAAGTACTTGTACTGAGTTATTCTGTTCAAGTTCAACTTTAAGATCGGAATGAAATATTTTAGATGTGGTAACATGTGACTTATTTTGTAATATCTAAAATCTGAGGCCACGTTTATCTAGCTCTTTCATTAAGGGTTTATTTATAGGCGCTAGACGTCATCATTTCCACTTACCTATCTTAACTAACCTCAGTATAAATCGGCCTCCAAACACGATTCTTTTAAGCAAATCTTTGTGTTAACTTAACAGACACTTGGCTCAGTGCCCTGCGCTGGTTTTAATGGCGGCTTTGGTGACGTGTTGTAATAGCTGCATGCTTCTTAGACGAATCAGCATATCAGTTTGCCAAAATTCCATTACAGAATCGCCTTAGCCGATATTTAAATTCGGAGACTAGCGTGTAGGAGAAACGTGTTAGCAAGTGGCATCTGTCAATAATGAACTAAGCATGTTACAACTGCTCCGTCCTGTTTCATCCTTGACACGATTTCCTCAGAATCGATCGTAATTAATAACGCCTGCCTTCGAAAACCATGGTCTGTCACCTTTAAGATGAAGCTCGTAACATAATTACAACGATGATACTAACCTACTTATTTTTCAACCCCCTATGCATACTACGTAAGAGATACATCGCCTTGAAATAGAAATTTATGCCCTGATTGATTTCGTTTAGTAGAAATAAACTTCTCATACCGTCCTTCTGTTGTTAGAACCGTCCATATTCAGTTTTAAAACACTGGAAATTTAAAAGTTGCTACGAATATCTACAGATTAAGTTATAATTTCAACATAAAGTTCGGCGTAGAAGGATATAATAATTATGACGATAATGTTTGTGTGCTCAGAAGGCTATGCGGCACTGAGAGAATTTGTTGCAACTTTCTTGAATTTTGACTCTAGATGGAGGTAGGCGGTCAACTTCACGGTCCGGGCCCTTTATTAACAGGAAAGGAACCCTCGGTTCCCGATGGATAGGAGATTGGGTGTAGTCAATCCATGTGAACGCAGTGGTTACGAAGAACTTACGACGTTTAATAGCATACAGAGCCTCTGTTTAATGTTATGTTGCCGTTGTTAAGTATTCTTATCAGAAGTGACCCAAAAGTACCTTGCACCTGGTAGAACACTGTTGCTCATGACGAAATTGCTTGCGATTGCCACAATTGGTCAAGGCCATTCAGTCACGTGACATGTTACTTGCCACCTGGGCGCGTGCTTGGGCAAGGATTTTGGAATAGCCATTTTCGACACTTGTTCTGACAGGCGCAGAGAGGTTTTTGAATTACTCTGTTTTATACTTATCCCCTGTTCTCCCTACCGTGCCTTACAAAAAGCATTCTTCAGAATAGCGGTTTGCACGACCCACTAAGGAAGATAATAACAATAAAATTCAAAACAGTAACAAGTAATTTCACATTTATTCAAAATCCAATTAAAACTTTTTAGTTTCTTTATTCAAGAAAATTGAATAACTTGATCCAGTGATACCAGTTTTTCAACGTTTGATAGTCATTTGGCAAGAAGCTTAGATACCACATTTAGTAACTATTTCACTGTTAGTAAATTCTTAATCCGATGAATGGGCTTGATGAAGTGGTACCAGTTTCCCAATGTCCGGTCTAAATTCATATATCAGTAGACTTAAATCACCACGTTTAGTAATCTGGAGTCGATTTTTTGCTTGGAAAGAAGTTGGATGACCACACTAAAACCACATTCTACTAAATATGATGTTGGAAATGCGACAAGGAGTTTCTTAACCACTGTCCATAGTGCAGGACAGCGATCAGTAATTTCCTTCTGTAACAGAGACTTTTGTTACGATTTCTTAAACTTTGGCTTCAGCTCAGTGTCATTTTCTAGTTCACTTCTTCCTCGAAGATTTATGTCTTCTGGGTTGTCGCGCTGTGTAGTATGATAGATCGCCCTGATGATGGAGGCAGTATGACCTCTGAAACGTCGGTAAACATCGACCAGACTTACTCAGCGCAACAACCCAGAAGACAGAAATCTTCATCGCCCTGATGACGGAGGCAGTATGACCTCTGAAACGTCGGTAAACATCGACCAGACTTACTCAGCGCAACAACCCAGAAGACAGAAATCTTCATCGCCCTGATGACGGAGGCAGTATGACCTCTGAAACGTCGGTAAACATCGACCAGACTTACTCAGCGCAACAACCCAGAAGACAGAAATCTTCATCGCCCTGATGACGGAGGCAGTATGACCTCTGAAACGTCGGTAAACATCGACCAGACTTACTCAGCGCAACAACCCAGAAGACAGAAATCTTCTTACTCACCGCTGTGAAAACCTCAAATCTTACATAGTTCTTCCTCCACTATTCCAGCTTCCTCAGTATCTGAAAATGGATGTATCACTCAATCTGGAATTTCCATCGAAAGAAGATCATCAAATCGCTCATACGTAGCTTCATGCAGCATATACAGATGGTCACAAAAAAACTTGCAGATCATCATATAGGATGCCACCCTTCTCCTCTAGCTCAGGCAGGCTCGGAAATTGGTATAGCTCGCGACGGCATGTATTTCGCTTCAATAGAGTTGACTTTGAAATAAACGTAGAGACAACAGATTTAGCCTTAAAAAGATTGACCTCATTTCCTTTCAACTGTAAATTCATTTCATTAAACTTTGCAAATAGTTCTGATAAATAAGCAATGCCATGCCTGATCTCTTTGAGATCATCACTGAGCAAAGCAGTGAAAACAAGAAATTCTAAGTAGCCTGTATCTTGATTGAATGCAAATAGGTCAAATGTAGAAGGTGGTACAGATTTATAATGGACTATTTATGCAATGAATAAATCTTTTACTTATATTTTAAAAAAAATTCTATTAAGTTTTTGAATCCGAAGCTCGTCTATATATTTAAGAATTCAGTCCGTACCGCAAAGAAAATACAACACTTTAATATCACAAAGATCGACTGGTTAATGCTGTTTAAGGAAACAGAATTATACGAAACTCATAAACACATAATGAAGATTTACTGACTGTCGAAGCAGATGAGATGAAAATTTAAATTTGGGTTTGGGGTCACTGTGATTAAACTGGTGTCGAATTCATTTGGGTAAGGGACGTGTCGGATCATTGCTTCTGAACAATGTTCGGAGCCCTGTTAATAGTGACTTTTTTGAAGGCCGTCAACCTGGATACTCACCATTTCTATGTCAAGGCCAGTGGTGCTGTCCCACACTGCCTTACGCACGAAATGGCTTTGTGACTGCTTTAAGACGTACTTTGAAATGACCGTAATAACTCATTAATTATGGTGGTTTATATACTTATGTGGCGAATGTAAACACGTCTACTAATAGTAAAAGCTAGGTACTGAGAACTGTCTGACCATTTGGAACGCTAAAACGGACGGCTTTTATTGTAACTCAGAGACAATGAAACTATTGTTTCAAACTATTGCCTGTTCGTATTAGACACGCTTTTGCGTTTATCACCTGCTTAGCACTTCTCTGTAAATGGGTTTTTGGAGGTCGCCCTAACTAGTACAAGCATATTCAGTAATGACAGGGTACCTCTCGAATGGGGCTACATGTAACGTCGAGATTGAAGAGTTGGTGCTCCTGGGTGGTGTATGAGAGGTCCCCGTGTTAAAATTTCGGGTTTATTTCGTGGTTTTAATGAGTCATTTGCGGTAACTTATGAAGTAGATAATACAATAAGAAATAAAAAAATCCTGATACAAAACGACACAAACTTTGTGGGTATAAACTGCCTGATAAACTTTTCATGTGTTGACTTTTTTGGGTGTTGGTTTCCATCAGTATTTTCAAAAGCAAGAAATTTTCGGGTAACACCCGCGAATTCTGCAACAAGTACGTCGAAAAATTTCTGCGAAAGCCTGTCTAATGCACAATTGCTTGTGTAGGAATTACAGATCGCTCTTAAATTAGAGCTTTGTAGTAGGATGAAGCAGATTTGGGTAGAGCTGATGGTCAAGTAAAAATAGCGCGGTGAAGCCGGAAATCGCATGGTGCGGTCCTGCTTGAGCAATAGGCCACACCCCCTCTTAGCACGAACGGGAGTACAGTACAGTGACTCTTTGTCGGTTGGACGACAAGGATTCGATTAGAGACGGGCAGATACGTGTTTTTCCATGTGCGCCACCTTGAATCCAGCAATGGTTACCATTATTTCATTCACGGCGTTAAACCGGCCGGAGCATGAATCCGACCACTCACTTCAAACTAAAGCCGAGGTCTAGAATGCATGGATCTGTACTTCCACGACCGGTCTACACCTCCATGGCTATAGTTCGGTGAGCAGACAGGGGTAAATTTATATTACATGCTACGGTACTCAATTTGATTGATTGAACTGCCAGGTCGCAGTCAAGACATCACAGCAGCGAACCAGGTGACAAGAATAAAAAGACGGACTCCAATGGAAAACGTACATTACTTTGCAACTAAAGCAGTGACTTCCATTTAACGTGGTACGTGAGACACTGACAGCAGCTCAGCTAGTTAAATAAAAACCTTGTTTATATATAGCCTGGCGGTTGATTATTTTGTTCACCAAAGCCCGGAATCGGTCCCTGTTCCGAGTCACGTAAATCCAGTTCGCATCCATTCACTCTGTTTCCTTAAGAAAGGGTTTTAATATTAACCTTCTATCTACAGGCCTATGTATTCGGTGTATAGTTTTGACTTCTCTCCAGTTTGATTAAGTATCAACTAACAGTGAATATTTTCACGTGGGTTTGATGTCTGTTTTAAAAACGAGGTT